AAAAAAAAAAAAAAAAGAAAAGATGTAAATGCAGTTAGTTGCACTTTGGATACGTAAGCTGGGGACTACCTGTATAATAGTCTTACTTAGAGGATGCATGCTAGCACTATTCAGTGACATTATTTAATATGAAATAGTTAAAGGTGCATTTGTGACTGGATACTGAATTGAAAGGGTCTCTCTTGTGTTGATGATTCTTGATACACTTAGCATGAAAAGCACAAAATAATAAGAAAGCATGACATTGTGAGAAACATGATGCCCAGGATTATGTTTACTAGGGATGAAAATGGGGAGTTAGGGTATTTAAATCCTATAGCAATGGTTGGAGAAAAACCAATAGCCCACAGGAGAAAGCCAGCTCACTGCCTATTTTTGTTCATCCTTCAAACAAAGAATGAATTTTACATTTTTAAGTGGTAGAAAAAAGTAATACGATTGCATGACAGATTTCAGTTTCCACAAATAAAGTTGTGTTGAGACACACTCATGTTCTTAGTTTTTTCTATATCAGAACAGCTTAACAACCTCTGCTTAACAACCAGCAGGCTACTCATCTTGCTCAGAATCTGTGGCCTTCGAGGAAAACCTTGGAAAATTGGCACAACCACCCTCATCCCCGTGTAGCTTTCTCGTTTTCCATTCTGCTCCAGCCACACTTGCTTTCTTGCTTTTCCTCAAATAATCAGGAAATGTTTCTACTCCAGTGTGGTTCACTTGTTACCACCTCTGCCAAAATATTCTGTCCTCACATATCCATGTGGTTGATTTTCTTACCTCATTCATGTTTTTCTCAATTGTCATTTTCTTTGTAAGACTTTCCCTATCACCCCTTTAAAAACTAATTCTCTTGTTGTTGTTATGTGCCATTGAGTCGGCCCTGACTCATAGTGAACCCCCCCTTGGGTTTCCGAGGCAGTATCACTGCAGAAGTAGGATTGATTGCCCAACCTTCCTTCCGAGGAGTGGCTGGTGGGTTTGAACCACCAGCCTTCTGGTTAGCAGTCAAGTGCCTTAGGCACTATGCTACCAGAGCTCCTGTTCCCTATTAATTTCTGGAGTACTTAATACCCACCAGTTACTTCTCAGAAAGAAGACTGGGCAATCTACTTCCATAGTGATACCTCCTGGGAAACTCAAGGAGGGGTTGCTATGACTTGGAGCCAATTTGACGGCAGTGAGGTAGGTTTTGGTTTAATACCCGTAGTAAACCTTGTGATATTAGTAATATTGTCTGATAATTCCCACAGTCTGTTGGATCACCTTTTTTTGGAATGGGCACAAATATCGATCTTTTCCAGTCAGTCAGCCAGCCAGCCGTCCGCCAAATTTCTTGGGATAAACAAGTAAGCACCTCTAGTGCTGCATCCGTTCGTTGAAACATCTCAATTGCTATTCTGTCAGTTCCTAGAGCCTTGTTTTTCACCAGTTCCTTCAGTGCAGCTTGGACTTCATCCTTCAATACCCTTGGTTCTTGATCATATGCTACCTCCTAAAATAGATGAACATTGACCAGTTCTTTTTGGTATAGGGACTCTGTGTATTCCTTCTATTTTCTTTTGATGCCTCCTGCATCATTCAGTATTTTGCCCACAGAATCCTTCAGCACTGCAACTTGAGGCTTGAAGTTTTTCTTCAGTTCTTGCAGCTTGAGAGATGCTGAGCATGTTTCCCTTTTGGTTTTCTAACTCCAGGTCTTTGAACATTTTATTATAATACTTTGCTTTGTCTCCTCAAGCTGCCTTTGAAATCTTTTGTTCAGCTCTTTTATTTTAGCATTTCTTCCAATCGCCTTAGCTACTCTAGATAATTCAAAAATGGTTGCAGCAGTATATTGACAGGGAACTTCCAGAAATTCAAGCTGGATACAGAAGAGGATGTGGAACAAGGAACATCAATGCTGATGTCAGATGGATCTTGGTGAAACCAAAGACTATCAGAAGGATGTTTACCTGTGTTTTATTGACTATACAAAGGCATTTGACTGTGTGGATCATCACAAATTGTGGATAACATTGTGGAGAATGGGAATTTGAGAACATTTAATTGTGCTCATGAGGAACCTGTACATAGACCAAGAGGCTGTTGTTTGACTAGAACAGGAAGATACTGCATGGTTTAAAATCAGGAAGGGTCAGAGTTGTATCCTTTTACCCTATTTAATCTGTATGCTAAGCAAAAAATCTGGAAGGCTGGACTATATGAAGAAGAACACAGCATCAGGACTGGAGAATTGGAGGATAACCTGTGATATGCAGATGACATAATCTTGCTTGCTGAAAGTGAAGATGACTTGAAGCACTTACTGATGAAGATCAAAGACTACAGTCTTCAGTATGGATTGTACCTCAACATTAAGAAAACAAAAATCCTTACAACTGGGCCAATAAGCAACATCATGATAAAGGGAGAAAAATACTGAAGTTGTCCAACGATTTCACTTTATTGGATCTACAATCAACACCCATGGAAGCAGCAGTTAAGAAATCAGACATTGTACTGCACTGGACAGATCTGCCACAAAAGACCTCTTTAAAGTGTTGAAAAGCAAAGATGTCACTTTGAAGACTAAGGTGCGTCTAACCCAAGCCATGGTATTTTCAATCATCTCATATGCATATGAAAGCTGGACAATGAATAAAGAAGACCAAAGAAGAGTTGATACCTTTGAATAATGGTGTTGGTGAAGAATACTGAAAACACTATGGGCTGTCAGAAGAACTAACAAATATGTCCTGGAAGAAGTGCTGCCAGAATGCTCCTTGGAAGCGAGAATGGCTAGACTTTGGTCATGTTGCCAGAAGGGATCATTCTCTAGAGAAGATGATCATGCTTGGTAAAGTAGAGGGTCAGCAAGAAAGGGGAAGACCCTGAGTAAGATGGATTGACATAGTGGCTGCAATGATGGACCCAAGTATAGCAAGGATTGGGGGGCTGGCACAGGACAGGGCAGTGTTTCGTTCTGTTATACTTAGGGTCACTATGAGTCGGAACTGACACCATGGAACTTAACGACAATAAACCTTGTATTTTACTTATTTAACCTGTATTAACATCTCTCTTCCTTCACTGCCACCCCACATACCCAAGGCAGGGATTTTTGCTTTATTCCCAGTGCTTAGAGCAGCACTTGGTTATAGTTGATGTTCAATAAGTATATGTCAAATCAATGAATAGCCTAATCCTCTAACTTCAGTGTTACCTCCATTTTCCCTAGATCAGTCCTTTTGCTACACTTTGCTGCCTCCCACTTTTTCTATTTTCTATCTTTGTCCGATTTTCATCCTTTGTCTTTCAGACAGTAAAGAAAACAAGAAAGATACTTACCTATAGTTTCTTTTTCTTTATTGTGGTAAATTACATATGTTGTTGTTTGCTGTAGAGTTGGCCCCAACTCATAGCGACCCCTCCTTGAGTTTCCAAGGCGGTATCACTACCAAAGTAGGATTGCCCATCCTTCCTTCCGAGGAGTGGCTTGTGGGTTTGAACCGCCAGCTTTCTGGTTAGCAGTCAAGTGCTTAGGTACTATGCTACCAGAGCTCCTAAATTACATATATGTATATATAAATAACAAAATATTTGCCATTTCAACATTTTTGACGTGTACAGTTCAGTGACATTATGTTCATTATGTTGTGCAACCATCACCACTATCCATTGCCAAACTTTTCTGTCACTCTTAACAGAAGCTTAGTGACCCCTAAACTATGACTTCCTCTTTTCCCTTCCCTCCCACCCCTGGTAACCCCTAATAAACTTTGGTCTCTCTATACATTGCTTTGGTGGCATAGTGTCTAAGGCATTTGACTGCTTACCAGAAGGCTGGCGGTTCAAACCCACCAGCCACTCCTCGGAAGAAAGCCTGGCAATCTACTTCGATGGAGGTTCTGCCTTGGAAACCCAAGGAGCAGTCACTATGAGTTGAAATCGACTCAAGGGCAGTGAGTTTGGTTTGGATACATTACTTACTTTACATATTTCACTTAAGTGGGATTGTATAATATTACTCCTTTTGTGACCGACTTATTTCACTCAGTATGTCTCAAGGTTCATCCATGTCGTAGTGTGTATCAAGACTTTATTTCTCTTTATAGCTGAGTAATATTCCACTGTACGTATGTAGCACATTTTGTTTATCTATTCATCTGTTGGTGGACATTGAGGTTGTTTCTGCCTTTTGACTATCAGGAGTTTCTGAGAATGGGATGTCAGGATGTTGAAGTTCTCAACTATGATGGTGGATGTTTCTTTTTATCTTCTCAGTTCTATCAAGTTTTTTTTCCTCGATGTATTTTGAAGCTCTGTTATTTAGTTCATATACGTTTATTATTTCTGTGTCTTCTTGGTGTATCAATTATTTTATCATTAACTTCTCCACGGTAGAAAGATGAGGCCGTCTGCTTTTGTGAGGATTTGCAGCCTTGGAAACCCTATGGGGGCAGTTCTGTTCTGTGCTGCAGAAACTCTATGAGTTGGAATAGACTCAGTAGCAGTGGGTTTTGGTCTTAATATCTCTCTTTGTCCCTAGTAATTTTCTTTGCTCTGAAGTCTATTTTATGTGATAGTAATATAACCACGCCTCCTTTTTTTTTTAATTTAAAATAAAACAATCAGTGCTTGCATAGTATATCTTTTTCCATCCTTTCAACTTACCTATATTGTTAAATTTGAAGCAAGTTTCTTGTAGACAGCTTATAGTTGGGTTATATATTTTTTCATCTATTCTATCAATTTCTGTTTTTCAATTAGACTGCAGGACTAAGACCTACAGGCCTTTTGAAAATGGAAACACAAATAAATTTGTGTAGTGAATATTATGAGAGAAAATTTGCAAGTCATTTCTCCTAAGGATAGGAAGTCAGAAAAAGCTTCCAAAATACTGGTCTGCTAACTCTTCTCTCCGTAATGGTGGTCCAAGTTTAGATACGATAAATTTTAGGAAGGAGAGGTAAAAGATCAGCTTTTCTCTTTTCTCTTTAACTCTACTTCAGTGTTTTCTTTTTTACATTCTGCAGTCTGTTCCCCCTTATTCTCTGACTTCTTCCATCTCTTAAATTTTGAAATTTGCTTTGTGACCTTATAGTTTCTGATTGAAATACAGATTTTGTAGTGTGTTATTTCTTTGGTCTTGCCTGTGATCTGACCCCAACATGTTTTGTCAGCCTTGTTTCCCTTTGTCTCTTCTCTCTAATTTAATTTTCAAACCAAATGACAACTTTTATCCCTCTGTCCTTGTCATATGGTTTCCTGTGTCATTGGAGCTTTGATGTATGAAAACAAGGAAATAAACAAAACTGATTTGTATCTTAAAGGAATGTTACAAAGTGTGGAGGAAAAGAGATGGAAAACAATATGACCTTTGGGGTTGAGAGTGGTCAAATGTCAAAAATGTAAGTGCAAAGAAAGGAAGCCAGATGCTACAGAAAAAAATATAACAGAGAAAGAAAATAGGAACTTACCGGTTGCTACTGGAGCAATTGCTAAAATAGAAAATAAAATGAATTAATTTTCTTTTTTTTTTTTAAATCATTCATTAAGTTCCTACTGAAAATCTACTTGGAACACCGGGAAGTAGACTTTTGGGAAACATAGTATAAGAATGTACTAATCCATATTAATCCAAGATTAACGCTATTTTAATAATTTCGATAGGCCATTTTTGAAGGCTTGTTTGAAGGGTTATATGAGTAAAACATACTTTTTAAATTATTATTTATTTTTTTTCAAATGCTCTTACCCAGGGAAAAAAGTCAAAATCTTTTAGGAGATTGGTTAGTAGTTAAGATTACTAATTTAATATTCCTCTTCATCATTATGGTAAATTTTCCATGTTTTTGTTTCTGATAATCTCTGGAGATTGTAATGAGAACATCAGAATTCTAAAGCTGGCATGAGTTAGAAGTAACCTCCAGCTATTTTAGTAAAGAATAGCAGAATTAAGGCGGGGGGGGGGCAAGGAATTTAGCTCTGGTGGCATAGTGTCTAAGGCATTTGACTGCTAATCAGAAGGCTGGTGGTTCAAACTCACCAGCCAGTCCTGGGAAGGAAGATTGAGCAATCTGCTTCCTTAGTGATATCGCCACGGAAACTCAAGAAGGGGTCGCTATGAGTCGGATCTTACTCCATGGCAGTGCGTAGTGTGTGCATTATCCTTTGCCAAAATACCGACACATACTAACATGATTTGCTTGGGACATGGAGTCAAGGCTTCTCACTTGCACATTTCTCAGGAAGGTAGAATAGGGCAGTTATAATGACAAATACAAAAGCCCAAGAGCTTCAGTTTCCTGATCTTCTTCTGTAGTCCTAAATCTTTAGGGTGAGCCTTCTTCCTTTTCAATTTTTATGAGAAATTAAAACTCTTCAAGAGATAACTGTATTTTAATTTAAATTCTGCACTGTTTGTTTTTCTTCCTGTTTCAGTTCTCTAACATCATAATATCTCTCTTCTATTCTCTACCTTCTGTCATGTTATTCTGTATGTATATTATAGTATATCTTACTTTATAGGGAGCTCTGGTAGCATAGTGCCTAAGGCACTTGACTGCTAACCAGGAGGCTGGCAGTTCAAACCCACCAGCCACTCCTGGGAAGGAAGGTTGGGCAATCTACTTCCGTAGTGATACCACCTCGGAAACCCAAGGAGGGGCCGCTATGAGTTGAGGCCAACTTGATGGCACATAACAACAACAACAGCTTACTTTATAATACATTTTTATTACTTAGCTTATTTATTGCTTTCCTTGTTTTAAAAAATTCAGCCAGAGTCTTTATTAGCTTAGAAATTGTGTGTGTGTGTGTGTGTGTGTATGCAAGCCTATGTCTTTTCTCTTTATCCTTGCCATATATTTTTCACTTAAAATCAACAACTTTAGGAAATGCAGAAAAATCTGAAAGCAAAGGAGATGAGGAAATATGACACTTGGGTTTTGCATTAGCATAAGTGAATACAGTCAATCAGAGCATTGGACCCAAACCTTGTGGAAGGTCAAAGGATGCTGAAATTGCCAACCAAAGAGCATGTTGGTGGGTTTTGAAAAGAACTGTAATAAATCAACCCTACATGAAATTCAAGCTTTCAGAAGTTCAGTTACCAACTATTTTCTTTACAGTGGGAGAGAAGAAGAATTCCTGAGACCACTTTTTTTCCTAAGAAGGAAGCTGCAATAAAATATGCCGGATCAAACCTTCTGTTGCTTTCATCTGGTAACCTAAGGCTGGAGGGCAAAGCCGGAGGTGTCAATATACCTACAGCTTCATATAAACTGCAGGTAACTGGAGAGTGGTAAAGGATGGCATGTGATAATTATTGTTAATAGTAATTATCAATGTTTAGATACTACTTTCTGTTAATATCAAATATTACTTTCATATAATATTAGCACTATTTATGAATTATAAGCTAATGGTGACTGTAAAGACTTATTACAATAAGTTAAAGATTTATCTTTTGTTCACAGGTCATTTAGGAAAGAAAAAAGAGTTGAGATATAATCATTTGGTAAAAATGTCTAGCTTGTGTGTTGGGCAGCAGGTAAATTTATACAGAAAATCTCATCCAAGACAAAGTCATCCCTCCACCTAGTGTCTTGCACAAAATTTATCTTAATACCAATTCTCCTTGGACTTTGTTGTTGTTGTTATTTGCCGTTGAGTTGGACCCAGCTCATAGCGATCCCTCCTTGGGTTTCTGAGGCAGTATCACTACGGAAGTAGATTGCTCAACCTTCCTTCCGAGGAGTGGCTTATGGGTTTGAACCTTCAGCCTTCTGGTTACCAGTCAAGTGCCTTTGGTACTATGCTACCAGAGCTCCCCTCCTTGGACTGGCTAATGACAACTTTAAGACTGTCAAATAAAGGGCTGAATTAGTAGAGGTACTTCTGAATCCTATATCCAAACATAAAAGTAGATCCTTCCTGGCAGTTATTACTCTGAAATATTAACTAACACGATCTCTTCTGCTAATAGAGTTGGTAAGACTATATTTTTTATTATCCTAGAGTAACTATAAAATAAAAAAAAATTAACTCAGTGCTAGGAGACATAAGAGAGAAGGAAAGAAAGTATGTATGTGCACACATCTATCTTAATTGGGTAAGAAGCAGAATTCCATCTTCTTTGATGATTTTTTTTTTTTAAAGAGTGTTTTGCTTGAAGCATTAGTAGGAGGGAATCAGATGTTACCACATTCAAATTTAGCTTCTAACATTTTTCTGCCTCCTCTTTTTTGGCTGAGAGGCTCAATTTCTCCACTTTCCCTTTCTCCCCTTCAGACTTTACTCGTGGCTTGAGTTGTTATTCATAAAATGTTTAACCTGTCATCAGAACTTGTTTCCTCCTCTTATTTCTTTCTCTGCCTATAGAAGTTTATGCTTTCCACCAATTTATAAATATAAGTCAGTTATTTTAGAAATGTGAAAATGGGAGTAAGATGGGGAGTGAGACCATTGAGATTTATAAGTAAGTTAGTTACTAAATAGGGATAAAACCACATCGAAAACCAAAAATTCACTGCCATCGAGTCAATTCAGATTCATTTAAACCCATTGGGTTTCTGAGGCAGTATCTCTACATAAGTAGATTGCCCACCCTTCCTTCCAAGGAGTGGCTGGTGGGTTTGAACCACCAACTTTCTGGTTAGCAGTCAAATGCTGAGATAATATGCCACCAGAGAGGTAATACAAATTAATTTTTTAGGGAGATTAAGTAATTAAAGTCACATATCTGGTAAGTGTTCTAGCTGGGATTTGAACTTTGTTCCATCTATTTCCTTTCTTAACTGTCACATTATATTACTTTTTTTTTTTTAACTGACTAACAGCATACAAATACCCATATGTACAATTATTCCTTAATCATGTCTCTAGAGGTAGGAGTTTAAAGGACACTATATTTTACTGAATCTTGCAGCATACTGCAAATTTGCTTTTTAAAAGTGTTGCTTTAATTTACAGTTGGACCAACAATGGTTGAATGATAATTTTTGCCAAAGCCTTGCTAGCATTGCTTGTTATATTTAAATTTTCCTCTTGATTATTCTTTTTGCCAATCATTGGGCATATTATAGTTCCTAAATTCATCACTAACATAAAAGGACATTAGATAATGGAAAGGCAGTGGAGTTTGTGAAATGTGAATGCAAAATCCTTTACTTTAAGGAAAGCATTTTAAAGAAACTGGCATTTAGAAATGATAAAATGACTTACCAACAGGTATTCGAGTAACTGGTAGAACAACATGAAACAAAAAATGTATTAGCAGAATTTTTGGATCAAGAATATCGTTTCCTTCTTTGCCCTTTTAAAGGAGTTAACAAAGGAATCTTGTAAGACACCAAACCTCCCCCAGAAGGACAGTCATAACAGGGATTAGTATTTCTATTGTGATAAGAGAATAGTCTCAGTCTGATGGGAATGGCTTCCCTGTATTTCACATAGCTTAATTCAATTCTTTTTCTTTCTCATCAAGTATGGAGGATTTAAATCCTGCAAAGAACGTTTAAACAATTACAAATTTGAATCCTAATTGCAGTTCTTCTTGTCTCCACACATAACAGATTCCCCAG